TGAAGTCTAATGTAAGTGTGAATTGCTGATCTGGTGTGTCTGTGAGTAGTAAAATCACTGTTTAGTAGATATACCCCAAATGAAAACATGAATGCTTTTAATAATGTTATTTTCACTTGGGATATATCTAAAATCTGAAGTTCTCTTTGCAAGCCATCAATGAGAGGTCAATGCAAGTCAATGAGAAGTCTTTGTAAGGCAGGTGCTCTCTGCTATTGGTGCCTCTTGAATTCAGCTCCACTAAGCTACCCAAATCAGGAGGTAACAGGACCGGTTGTCTGATTAACAGACAAGGTGGTGTAACCAGGTGATTTATATAAGTGCCGATTTAGATTGAAATCTGCACTTTGTGTAAAATGACAAAAATAGGACACACTCTTCACACAGAAAGCATTACAGCAAGCTTAAGTACTTTAGTAGTTTGGAGTGTCCCTTTAATGTATGCAAGGTGGCATGTGGAGTGAGTGCAGGAGAAGGAGCCGCATTTGTTCTCCCACCCAGGTAGCAAAATATCTTGGACCAGATGGTGTCCAGTGGGTTGGCTTACATTCGGGCCGGTGTGCCACTACCTAGGGCACAATGGCCTAGGGGCACAATCGCAGGGTGACCGGTAGGCCTGACAGGAAGTGCTCCTCTCAGTGAGCACCGAACTGCTACCTGTCAGATCGGAGAAAGGAAGATCCTCCACCGTGGTCCGTGGCTTGGCCATTCTACAAAGGTCAGCAGACACAAGAGGAGGGGGATTGAGACATACGGAGGGGATGGGTGAAATAAGACACATGAAGCACTGGGGGGGTTAAGAAACATGTGGTTGCTGAAGGGATTGGGACACGTGTGAGGGGTTGTTAGACACATGGAAGGGCTGGGGGGGAAATGAGACACATGGGGGATTGAGACACATGGAGTGGCTGCGGGGGGATTGAGGCACATGGAGGAGCTGGGGTGGAAGTAGACACCTGAAACGACTGTGGGAGGGGGAATGAGAAACATGTGGTTCCTGGGGGGATTGAGACACATGAAGGGGCTGTGGGCAGGATTTTGACACATGGAGGGACTGAGGGGAAGATATGAGACACATGGGGGGGTTGAGAAATGTAGTGGTTGCAAGGGGATTGAGACACATGGAGGGGCTGGTGCGGAATGAGATAACTGAAAGAACTGTTGGAGGGGTAATGAGAAAAACGAAAGTGGCTAGGGAGATTGAGATACATGAAGGGGCTCTGAGAGATTGAGACACATGGAAGGGCTGAGGGGGGAAATGAGACACATGGGGGGATTAAGACACATGGAGTGGCTTCGGGGGGATTGAGACACATGGTGGGTTGTGGGGGGATTAGTTGTGTTTTTAGGATTTGTGCTGCCCTAGGCAGGACAGTGCTGGGGCATCCCCCCTAATTTAAATTTTCCCCACCCCTTACTGTCATGGCCACACTTTGACTGACAGACACTCACTCACTGACAGACGCACACACTCACTCATAGATGCATACACTCATTGACAGACACACACTCTCATATATACATATGACAAACAATGACATACACACACTCACTGATTTCACACACCGATAGACAGACATACACTTACTCGGACACACACTCACTGACAGACTCACTGACAGACGCACACTCTCAATGATAGACGCATGCACTCACTGACAGACGCACGCACTGACTGACAGACACATACACATTGACTGACCGACACACATACATTCAATGACAGACACACACTGACTCAAATTCACCGACACACACATTCACTGAAACACACACACTCACTGACAGACACACACACACACACTCACTCACTCACTCACATTCACTGACACACTTCACTCACATTCACTTACACACACATTCACTGACACTCACATTCACTGACACACACTCATTTACTCACATTCACTGAAACACACATTTCCCCACACTCACAATTATTATTATTATTTTTTTATTTTTTTTAAATCCACCCAGCCTCCCTACGGACGGACGTGCAGTTTTCAGTGAGGGAGCACTTTCCCCTGAGCTCTCTTATCAGCTCCCTCGCGCGCCGCAGAGTGATGCCAGGAGCCGGAATACGATGTCATATTCCGGCTCCCGGCATTACTGCGCGTCGCGCGAGGGAGCTGAGCAGAGAGCTCAGGGGAAAGTGCTCCCTCACCGCCCACCCGAGAAACAACCACCCGCTGCCCCGGGGGAGCCCAAAGGTGGCAAGCTGGCCAGCTCTTGGGCTCCCATAAAACAAGGCAAACAAGGCATTTGCCTGGGCATTTGGGGGCAGCGTTTTTTGCTGCCCTCTGGAAATTACCGCCCAAGGCAAATGCCTTGTTTGCCTCGTGGCAGACACATCCCTGGGAGGGGATGAGACACATGAGGGGGCTGTGGGAGGATTGAGACACATGGAAGGCTGAGGGGGGGATTGAGACTCATGGAGGGGCTGAGGGGTGAAATAATACTCATGGATGGACTGGGGGATTGATACATATGAAAAGACTGAGAGGGGATGAGACACATGGAAGGGCTTGGGGAGGAATTACACACATGCAGGGGCTGGGGGGAAATTTGGCACAAGGAGGGACTGGGGTAAATGAAACATGGGGAGGGGCTAGGGAGAGAAATAGACACACAGAGGGGCTGAGAAAGGGTAACAAAAGACACACAAAGGGGATGTGAAAAGGGAGAGAGAGACAAATTGGCTGGGGCTAAGATACAAATGGGGAGAAAGACATTCAGAGGAGCTGGAGAAGGGGGTAAAGAAACACACAAAGGGGCTGGAAGAAAGTAAAAAATACACAAAGGAGGTTGTAAGAGAACACAAGGGGGGTGTAAGACACACAAAGAGGAAAATGGGAGATAAGATACATTAAAGCTGGTAAGGCATCATAAAAGGGATTGCAAAAACCTGCAAGAAATTCACAAAGGGTTCACTCAGACGGCCACTAGAGGTGCTTCCTAGTCCATTGCTGCACACTAACATCGAGCATCTTCACGGTCTGCATTGTGAAACACCTTGTGGACCACAGATAAGCCCTATTTATTGTTATTATTGTGATTTATGTTTATTTGTTTTTTTATTATATTGATTTCATAAATTGGATTATACTCCTGGAAAGTTCTTGCATATCCTCGGAGGGTGACATCCCCCCAATAACAGATGTCTGCCTTGCAAATAGAGTCTATAGAATAAGGCTCGGCTTAATGAGTCTGTATAACCTGATTTAGCCATTTCTATTTTTTAAGCCATACTATGCTGTTCTCTATTTCTCCTGTTTCCTGCTAACATCAATGAAATTACTAGAAATTCTCTGGAAGAAGGGTGGGAGTCCCCTGATTTTGAAGACTCCACAGGCTAAGATTGAGTCATTGAGCCATTTCTAAGGGCTCTCTCTATTTGTGAGTTGGAAATTCTACCATTTTTTAATTTTAATTCATACCTCATTCTTGTATGGTCCGCACTATGATATCTGGATACTCTTACTTCTGAGTACTGGGAAGTACCGGTATATATTTTTCTTGGTTTCAACACATTAGTGTGTATCACCGGATCCGATTGTATTTAAAAGGTACACTGCATTGTTTGCACCAGTTATACTGATTGCATTAAAAACATTGTGGGTGCACTTTAATCATTTGGGTTACCTCCAGAGCACTTTGTATTTAGCACTTTATTCTCATGGTTTTCACCACTATATTGCGGAGTGCGGACTCTACGTATATCAATTAATTCACCCAAACATTCAACTCTTTTTACAGAACATATCGTTAGAGGTTAAAGGGTATATCTCGAGTGTCGCTGAGGTGCTCAGCAACTTTTTCCACATTCCACATTCATTTTTAACCAATTAATAGCATTTTTGAAAGCGCCTTAACACAGACATACCACTGCTGTGACATTACTTCACTTGCAGAATCTGAGCTATAGACTTTTTCCAGATAAGCTACCACGCTCTTTCGTTTGCAATTGGGTTTTCAATTCACTGAAATTCTTGGTTAAGTGAGAAAATTCTGCACTGATTGATTAAATAGGGGATTTTCTTTAAACTGGCTTGGAAATTATACATTTTACATTTGAAATTCCATATTTACTTCTGAGGGTTATTAAAGCAAATAAAAATCTGAATGGCAAAATTTATGCTAAAATATCTGATGTGAATAAAATCTATAATTCATCTATAGTCACACAGGGTTATTCTTTCACTAAAGTGAGAATCCAGAGTGAATTTCAAATTTAAGGTCATAGTAGTCGAACTGGAAAAATGTTCTCATCTATGTTTTCAGTTTGATTACTCTGGCCTTAAATGTTAAATTCAATTTGAATTCTTACTGTAGTTTAGTAACTCTGATAGACTGGCCATTTTGGGGAACATTTTGCTATTCGATTGTAAGATTTTTGAAATTCAGAATTAAATGGATAAACTCAAGTTGTGTTGAGTTATTCACTAAAGTGTGAATTGTAAAGTGGAATTTTAAAGTGAATTCACATTTTTAAATGTAAGACACCTATGTTTTCTGTTTAGCTATTATAGCATAAAATATGAAATTTACTCTGGATTTCTAACAATTAATATTTTACTGAATATTTGCATATTCAGATTTAATTGTATATATATTTTTTCAAGCTGGCTAATTTAAACTCCATTTTGCAAGCTTCTCTCCAGCTCACTGTTTAGTGGATAGACCCCCTGTGGCTGAAAGTCTCCAGGTAAATGGTGTCTAGCTAGGTATTCACAGGTGAGACCATCTAGTCTTTTATCTGCTCCCTCAGATCTCCAGTTTGAGTTACAGAGATGTATCTCCCCTGTGTTTCCACTAACTTTGATTGAATATATGAATCCCAGGAAACCCCAAGGCATTGAGCTAGGCGTTGATATTCAAGAAGCACAGACTGATGAGGGGATGAACAGACCTCTGTGCTAGCCTCTCTGTATGGATCAGCCTCTCAGACCCCTTTTAGAGCTCACATCATCACCATTCCCCTGCTCTACAATAATTCCACACACAGGCAGAAAAGGAGCAGCTGAGGAAAGTTGAACTGAACTGGCAGAGTTTGCAGAATAAAAGTCGATCCCTATTAGTTGAAGAGAAGATGCTCAGCCCTGGGGCTGGGAGGCGGTGATTGCTACACGTGGGTTTTAAGGCAGCTCATGGTACTGGAGTCTGAGCGAAGAGGTGAGAGATACATCAACGTTCCATTTGATTCCTGGTGATGGGACACATTGTATCAGTGTGATCGCAGCATCAGTGACAATAGAGAGGACCACCCAGGTAGGAGAACGAGCCAACTCCCCTGTGGGAAAAAGGGGACACAGACAGCCAGTCCCCCTCCCTCCCCCCCTTGAACTCAGAGAGAGATAACTGAACTGAGGAAGCAAAGTTGGGCAGGACTGCTTCACCTGAGGGTCCAGAGACAGGACCCAGATAGATCTCTCTGAGCAGGACATCTTCAGGACAGGGCTGGAGACCTCCTGACTCCTGGTCATTGTCCACCAGCACAGGGTCCAGGTGCCGGCAGCCAGGACAGGAGAATAGTTTTATTTTCTATTTAGTGGAGGTTCTCAGTAAGGCTTCAAGATTTCGTCGAAAAGCAGACAGGAGGAACGGCCAGCTCTGAGCCGGCTGGTGGCCAGGAAGAGGCTGGTGGCCGCCGGGGCGCTGGGGGTGATCATGGTGCTTCTTCTGGTGGTCCTCATCCCGGTTCTGGTCAACTCCGCTGGGACATCGGCTCACTACGAGATGCTGGGAACGTGCCGCATGGTCTGCGATCCTTATGGGACCAAACCTCCCAGTACTGCTACAGCAGAGACGGTTCGGGAGCACAGCCTTCTCCAGTCACTGCCCACCTTCATACAGGGACCCAAGGGGGAGCCCGGGCGACCAGGGAAAGCTGGACCTCGGGGACCTCCTGGAGAACCAGGGCCACCTGGACCAATGGGACCTCCGGGGGATAAAGGGGAGGTGGGGAGACCAGGGCTTCCAGGTCCAGCTGGGAACCCTGGGCTAAACGCTGCTGGGGCTATTAGTGCTGCCACTTACAGTACTGTGCCCAAGATAGCCTTCTATGCTGGGCTCAAACGCCAGCACGAGGGCTATGAGCTGCTCAAATTCGATGATGTGGTCACCAATTTGGGCAATCACTATGACCCCACCACTGGCAAGTTCACCTGCTCCATACCTGGCATATACTTCTTCACCTACCATGTCCTGATGAGAGGAGGGGATGGCACTAGCATGTGGGCAGATCTGTGCAAAAACAACCAGGTAAGGCAAGTCCTGGACTCCTGGCAAGGGGGGATGCATGTAAAAATGGGATTATGGAAACAACCCTGTGCCAAGCTGGGGAATGGGACAAGGCATGCATTACAAGTAAACTCAAATCTCACATTGATACCACTGATTTATCCTATTTATCAAAGCAAAAAACAGGTGCTTCTCTGGGGCAAAGTGTTAAATAAGGTACGATCACCATGGAAACCAATAGAATTATATATTACTTATGTAAACATTTGAGATTTTATTTTTTTTAGATGTAAAAATATTGTTCAAAATTATTATAACATTGTTTTGACATTTTTTTTGTTATGATTTATTCATGAAAAATGTGTTAATTAAAATAATTTTAAAACATTGTCTCACTTTGCTCCAAAAAGCAAGAGATTTGCCTTGATAAATTCCCACTTAGATATTTGATTAAACATGAATACATAAAAAAATTAAAATTCCTCCTAGTATCTCATCTCCCATATATAAACAATGATAATGAATCCCAACATGAAGAAGTAGGAGTATTTGGCTGGAAGACAGCTGAGCTACCAGGGACACAAAGTATCTGTCATCTTCCAAATATCTCTATAAACTTTTACACCATGTCCCTACCAGGGATCACTTACTAAGCTCAAAGGCTGGAGATGTTTCTGATGTTTCACTGGTTACATAATAGCACAAGTAATCTTTTTTTCTCAAGCATTCCATTTACTAACTGCAGGGCAAAAAAGCATCTAACTCCTGTCTCCTGCCCCCTTGAAGTGTGATGCTTTTGCCTATTCTATATATTTTATAGAGCACATTTAAACACCCCTGCTGGTATTTAACCTTTTTCTGAGCAGTGGGAGTTCAGCTCCAATAACTGACCCTGGGATTAACCTGTCAGGTAAGCAAACTATTATTGAGATATGGTATTTGATCACTTACCATGTCATCCACTGAGCACCAAAGTACAGAATGGTTTTCTGAACAGGGAAGGTAATGAAATGAATAGTCTCTTGGGCGTATACAGGTTTATAACATAAACCATTTAATTTCCCAAAAGCATAGGTAAAGACAAACATATATAAATATATATATACATATATCTAATAGACAGTCACAGAATGAGGAGGTGGTGAAATCACATTCATGTCCAGATATGCAATGTATTAGAGCTTTATATTGTAATATGGGTTATTTTAACAAAACTATTTGTGCCTAAATATTCCTGTGCATGATAGTGTGAAGAGTTATGTAGAAGATAATATTTTATTTCTGCTCTATATACACTGTATATATATATTGTAATAATCACATTAAATCCATGAATTATAAGGAATTGAAAACCAAATTGCAAAATATAGACCAGATTAAAAATAGCAGATTAAAAAAAACACCAACCCTGCTCTAATCATAATTTGTATAATTTGGTTTTCAATTCACTAAAATTCACCGTTTAGTCAATTTTTTAGGACTATTTTCCATTTTTCTATTTTAGTCTATATTTTACTGGTCGGTTGTTAAATCTACACAAGTGGTTGTTTAGTGAATATACACATAAGTGAGCCACTTTTTTTAAAACTTCAGAGACTGTTAGGCACAGCAAGATATTGCATAATTTAGATTCATTCTGAGCAGGAGATATTTTAAACAAGACGACTATTGTTCTGTTTTTCCTCCTGTATATTTCCACACTATTAAACATTTATAGGTTTATTCAATAAAGTGTGAAAAACAAAGTGAATGTAAAATTTTAACCACTACAGCCAAATTCGAAAATTGTTGAAAATTGAAAATTTTTCCAGTTCAACTTTTTGGCCTAACATTTACCATTTTCTTGTTAGTTCTCTCCAGTTCGTAATTGCATTAAGTCACTGTTCATATAATACAATCTAAAATAAAAAAAATAAATGACACAGTAATGAATGGTGACATCATTTTTTATAAAAATCTCTGATTCATGTTAGGCATGATGATTCACGTGAACCTTCATTTTGTAACTTAATCAATGCAGTCTTTGCTATAACCTTGTTTTCAGTCAAAAAAAAAAAAACAACTAAAAAAAACAAATATATAAAAAGAGAACTTTCCTGCTGCAAGATGTATTGTGTGTTTAACCCCTTAAGGACCAAACTTCTGGAATAAAAGGGAAGCATGCCATGTCACACATGTCATGTGTCCTTAAGGGGTTAAAGTCATGTTGCTCCATTATAAGTACATTTTGGAATCTTCAAAGTAAAAAATAAAATAAATGGAAGACTACAGAATATATTGATACATTCTTTACATAGTGTTGAACTGCCGTTTAATTTAGATCCTTTATTAGGGCAACAGATTTGATTCACTTGAAATGCACTCTGGCACATCCCCCTGGCACTTAAATGGTTACAGGGCACACTGCAAAACTAAATAAAGCGTCTGTATAGAAGTGATGTAACTAAGGCCAATGGTTCTTGTTTTGTTAATAGTTTTCTCATTGTGTAACAGTGTACATATCATTATTAATGTAATACACCTACAAATAACCCATTGGCCCAATTTGGTTATTAAAGGGCTCTTATACAGTCTTTTTTTTTTTTTTATTATTTCTTCCTTTATAATAAGTGGGCAATGTGTTTTTTTTCCCCCTTCTAATCATTAATTTTGTGCTATGATTTCCATAATTTGTGATTTTATATTCTTATTACAATCTTGTATGTTGTGAATGTATACAAAGTTTTCAGTTAGGATAGAATTCAGTGTATCAGCTGTATGTACAGAAATTGGTTTATTCATTAAACCAAGAAAAAGAATCAACTGACAACGGAAATATGTGTTTAATATTGCAGAGGTGCAAGAGTAGCAGTTTGTGCAAAATGAGCAAAAAAGTTGCTAATTTTTGCCATTGTTCCATGATGAGTACTAATTTCGTAGAATAAAATGCCATCTGTATAGAATTCACCTTTTCTTTTCCATATTCAAATGCAATCTCTTGCATGTTACTATGCAGATCACCTGTTGGATAAGATTCATAAGAAACACAGTCCATAATGTATCAGGGTCAAAGGTTAGCAATCACTAATCAATTATACTTACAATAGTATTGCAAAGTAAAATATGTGCTAAATGCTGAAACGCCATGCAGTACTGAAATGATTAAATAACATAGATATATTATTTTTGTCAATCATTTTAATAATTTTATTGAAAATGTTGGTTTTACACAATATGGAATCTATAGCAAGTTGTGGTCACTGGATGAATAACAATTAAATATTAGTTCAAAATTTATTGGGTTGGAATAAATCTCCAGCTATTCAGAACTAGAGATTTATTTAGCTCCGCAATATTAGCATATATCTCTTACTGTTTGGTAAATAGGTCACTCTTTTTTCGTAGGAACCAGCAGGCCTGATGTGGTTTTTGTTGCATTCTACTCAATGAATTCTTCTGACCAATCGAGTACTGGTAATAATGCAGTTTACACACTAAGAGTCATCACTGATGTAATGAAAAATGCTGAGGTCTAGGATCACAGAATTAGAAGGCAGTGCTTAAATAGTACATCAGCATTAAAGTTACTCTAATGGAAAGATTAGCAGAGCTAATTCCTAGATCCAAATTGTCTAAAAACACCACATGCATCTCAATACTGAACTAGTATCTGTTGTAAAATGAAATTAAGTAAGTTTGGTTTACACATCGTTATTACCACCAATACATTATTTTTATACCAAATCTAAAAAGATTTTGGTATAATCTGAAATATCTGGTATTTTCAATTGGGCAAGTGAAAATAATTCTCTCCAATTCTATTATTATTTTTTTTTTATATGCACGAACCTGCACTAAACTGTAGAAATAAATGCATGGTGTATTTTGTCACTTTTGCATTTTTAACCAAAAATCTCTCTTGTCTCTCGTGCACAAATGCACAGCTATTACGAGAAGCCACGTGGGATGTTAAAGCAATTTGTGAAATCCCAAATATTGGAGAACCAGAGGTTTCATTATCTCAGCCTTAGCTAGCTATGATTGGATGTTTTTGCTAATTAATGACAATGGGAGTGAGTAGAATTGCCTAGTCATTCCTAGTTAAAGGTATCGATCTGGGTTACATGACCATGTATTCACATACTATATCCTGGACGCATGATGCTATAGATCAAATCTAAAACCGCTTTATATTTGTGTTATGTCAAGCGTCTTATATTAAGAGTGTCTGTGCAACAGAGGCACAGTGCCATGGATAACAACGCAATCTCTAGTGAATTTATACACTGCCATGTCCTGAGACTTTCTAAGACATACATACTTATCTTCAGCTATTGGAGTGGTGTTTCAAAGCAATCACATTTTTTTTTTTTTTTTTTTATATAATGAAGGATAGGTTAACTGAAAAACTTCAAGGGTCACTTCACCGTTACCACGCTTCTGGGAAAAAAATGCTTTACCCAGGCTCCAAACAAGGTTACATTAACCAAAACCAAAGACTAGACAAACAATCTATCTTCTGCATTATGACCTGGGTTGTGTTGACAAGAGAATTGTGTTAATAGGCTCCTTGTTCACTGTCAAACGGGCAAAACTTTTTCATGCAACACTCACTCTTATAGTTATATTTAACGTACAGTGTAGGATGTGTTTTGTACAGAATACTAGAACACATTGTAAACTTGCATGTGTCAATCTTCTTTTAAGGCCAGGTAAAGATAATTAAATCATGGTATCCTGTAAAAATAATCACACCGTATATTTATAATATCTGTAATTCCAAAAATAATGTGTATATTGGATATATTGTATTGCACTAAAATATATACAAACATTTTAATAATTGATTTTTTATTTATAATCTTCATATAATTTAGTCTGGTCCTGCCATAACACATCATTCATAAAAATAGATCATCTCTGGATTTGTACTTATTGTCATGATATAGTAAAAAATAGTTGTGATTCTTATGTAATCAAAGGGATGTGTTATATAATCATAATTTCATATGTTATCTATATATATCCCAACTGCTGGGGGATTTC